AGGGCGGTTTCGAGGTGAAGATAATTTTTCGTACAATCAGACCTTTAAAATGTCATTCAAACGGAAACATTTTTGATTTTTTTGTTTTTTTTTTTATGCAAAAACTGCTTAGAACGGTTAAAAAATCAAAAGTGCGTTTTCGGTTCTTGTAGCCATGGAAATAGATTCCTTGAGGCAAGTACAGCATGCCGTGAGATTTAAATTCCCATTTCTTCTCGTTGTCGAGATATTTGATTTAATCAGATTTTTCCAAAAACAAAACACTGTGCGCCACACCCCTAACGCCAAATGGATTTTGTTACAAGCATTCTGCATTGCATAAATACTCTCGGAGCATTGTGACTGACAGCAGAGGGGATGAAATCCAGGCTCTTTGAGGTGGTGGAGTACGCATCTCTTACTACTCAGCCACAGGGCCGCTACTGGATTAATCTTCTTCTGCTGGATCAATATACACACTATAAATGATGGAATGGGGGCACAATAGATCTAAGGTCGCAGTGATCTATTCCTAAAATGAATAATAATCTTTGGACTCTGCGAATTGGATAGGTCTAGTCTCAATAAAAATTTGGTGCAACATAGATTTGGCTCAGTTCTGGTGACAGCTTCACTGACAAAATTACGGAATTCTTTTGATACGTATTACTGCCATGTTAACGGATTGAAATCGCTTGTATTCTTTTAAATTAATTGTGCAGTTAGTCTCTATATATACAAACATATTAATTTTTTTAATTATCTTTATAGGTGGGAACTCTAATTAGCTAAATTTGGAATAAAAGTATATACAAAAACTTGTTCTCTCATAACAATACCTATTTTATATTATATTTGATATAACTAAAACAAAACGAAAACTATTTAAAACTTAGAAATGTGGCAACCCGCTTTAAAAAAAAAAAATGGTATTAACACGTAAAATGCGCCAATTTAGAAAAAATATTTCATCTAACTCACAAATAAAATTTAATGTTTCAATGAGATGGGCATCCTTTTTGAAAATATTTTCGAAATTAAATTTTCTTTAACTCCCTTCATTTAATACAAAAATTGCATTATTTTATTTAAACCAGTGTTTTAACTAAATTTGACTCTTTAAATAGGTGGCAGCCCACTTTAAAAATATTATAGAAATAAAGCTTTCTCAAACCTCTTTCGTTTGAAACCGGCATTGTATTATTTAATTTAACTAAATAATTTTACTAATTTGATACCATTTAACTAAAAAGTACACTAAAATATGTAGACTATTTAAATAGGTGGCAACTCTCTTCAAAACTATAACAATCCTTCTTTGTCTGTCAGTTATATTGTACTACTTCCTATTATACCTCCTATTAAATTGAATTTTACTTTTTAAACAGGTGGCAACGCTCTTCAAAAACTACCTGCATGTTAGTCTATGTTTTTGTAATCTTAACTGAATACACATTTTTGTCTCACTATTACATATATGTATGTTTTGGTAAATATATAGTAATTAAGAAAGATTTATGTATTTTACCTGCTCTACATTTGCAAGTCAGCCACCAACCCAAATCCCCCCTACGTTCGTCCCTATACCCGTATTACAATGTATTTTTTTTAACTAATGCATTCTCTATTCAAAACGCACTTTTGACTGCATTATATGTACCATTATAGAGAAGGTTGGTCACGTTTGAAGAGTTCAAGGTGGCTGCGCATGCGTAACCAGTTACAACACTTTCAACGTCTAGTATGTAATGAATGATTGATACAAGTTCATGACTTCTGCAGCAGAGTTTGTTAGAAGGGCTTCTACTTAGCATGCTTGCTGCCATAAAAAGAAAGATAAAAAAGAAACAAAAACAAGTTGTGTACCTAACAATTACAACAATGATTTTTGTAGGCATTTTCATTGGCTTAACTGAGAACACACCCGTGTATTGGTAAGCACGTGTTGACACAAGCACATAAGCTGCTATGTATTTCCAATGGCTTGAAAAGAAGTTTGACAACACCCACAAAAAAAAGGCAAACAAAAATATACTTAAGTATGTACGGATAAAAATATTAAAAGCATATCACAGCGTATCGATTACTTTTCAATTGCCCAAACGACTTAAAGTAGATAAAAAAAAAAAAATCGAACCGATTCAAGTTTGATCTGCACTGAAGGCCGTTTTGGGTACTCGAAATGCGAGCACAATTAGTACTCAAGTGTTTTTTTTGCAGTTGACGAATTTCTTTCCAACAACTTATGATACATTTTTTATAAATTTTTTTGCCTTAAGAAATAGTATTTAGGAATGTGTGTGTGCAAATACCTTTCTAGCACCTTGATCGATATAAAAAGGCACGCTTTGACATTTTGGCCAGTAGTTCTCGCAACAACTTTCTCACAGTCAATACAGACCTACAAGTAACAAAATCCAAAAATCAAAATGTTCAAGTTGGTAAGCATTTGCAAAAGGATATACTGATTTTAAATTTAAATTCGCACAGGTTGTGGATTTCCTTTTTGTCTGAATTAAATATCCTTTTCTTCAACCAGGTGGTATTGTCTGCTCTCCTCGCCGTAGCTGCTGCTGCTCCCCATGTCGTCCAAACGCCAGTTGTCTATTCGGCGCCCGCAGCCGCTGTTGCCGTTCAAGAGAATGTTCTTGCCAAAGTTGGCTCTGTGGTGAAGAGTGTGCCCACCGCGGTCTCACACCAAAGCTCCACTGTTGTGCACAACTCGGCTGTCTCTGTTGAGGATGTCGTTGCTCCAGCCGTGAAGACTACCTACTCTGCGCCTGTTGTTGCTGCTGCTCCAGTTGTGCACTCGGCTCCAGTTGTGCACTCTGCTCCTTTGGTACACTCAGCTCCAGTTGTGCACTCCACCTACGCTGCTGCTGCTGCTCCAGTTGTTCACTCTGCTCCTTTGGTGCACTCAGCTCCAGTTGTCCACTCTACCTACGCTGCTGCTGCTGCTCCTTTGGTGCACACCACCTATGGTGCTGCTGTGGTTGCTGCTTCTTCTCCACTCACCTACACCGCCCACGGTCTGTGGTAAGCGAATTTGAAATTTAATGACCGGAATGTTTGGCAACGGATTGAATTGTGGATTAAAGTTGGACGGCTAAATTGAGAATTTTGTGATTTTTAGTTTTGTAAATAAAATAAAGCAAATTTAAAGGAACACATTTTTTATTCACAACTGTACAGTTCATATGTGTTTCTTGGAAAGGCATAAAACTTTTGTTCTCTTCACTTGGGCGTCAACACCAAAATGCTGTTGAAGGAGAAATGTCGTTGACTTCAAAAAAACTGCTGAATGCCGTCGATATATTAACGATAAGGCTGAAATATCACGCAACAGGGATATAAGGTATAAACTTGGTATCTCCCTTAAATTATGAAAACTTCTACTAAATTCAAAAAAACAAGTCATAGAAATTGTAAACAAAAGATGTCAAGTGAAACCAACGTCGTCTTATTACCAAAATATTCATCAAGCTTCTGATGGTGGCTTCAATTGCCGAAGGTTGGAGTGCTATTATAACTGCTTGCCAACCAAAGAATGCCAGGTCATGGTCAGATGCTTCATTACCAGGCATACCTGAGTGACCTGGTACACAAAGTGAAAAAAGGTCCTGATGTTTTCGAACATAATTTGGTCGAGACTTACATGACCAAATTAATTTGGAAGTAGTTAGAAGGCTAGCCTTGTGTGCAGCGTACCTGTCCCAAGAGACATGGAAGCCCCTACCTCCCCACATATTTTCCACATCGCTGTCCTTGGCCTTGAGGATTGCAAATACCTCGGTTTGAAATAACCAGGCATACATATTTATTGCTTTAGAGAAAATTGAAGAAAATACCCTTTAACTTTATCATAGATTCCAGATCCTATCCCTGTGGCAGTGGTGGAGCTATCAGTAAATATCCAACAATGTGTAAGCAAGAGCTCAGTGCATGGGTTCAGTGCACGCAATTAACCTCAGGGAACTCAACATTATGCATAGAATATCCTCAGCAAAAGTAATGGTGGCGTACTATTCTGGATGATTGAAGTTGTGTCCAGATCTTTGCCACCAACAATTGTCGCCTTGCTGCACTCATTATCATACCAACGTCCATTTCCTGCCTGGCCTGCGGTTAGCCTATAGCACCTACCCACGTATAAAGGTGCAAGGGTTATGGCAAGTGTTTCATAGACTGTCCCTGCAGTTTGGCAAGAATATTTTCTACGGTATTGCTTGAGAGTCCGTAGATATGCTTACATTGCCAAAATGCCACCAAGGCTTTTCAGGTTTTATGCTAAACGTGAAACTTCCATGAAAGTTTGGTATCCAGAATTACCCGTAGACATGGGTCCCCTTTGCATTTCACGTGCTGATACTCACCTTTTTATGCTGGGCGTTAGCATCGCAATACAAGATAAAAACCAATATTTCACTTGAAGCCGTATTGCACAAAACCAGCCACCTTCCTATGGAAAGTATGCGAAGGCAACAAAAAAGTATTTACATCTGTTCACCCATTCCATTGCCCCTGAAGCTCAGTGTTTTAGCAACCAATTCATGATAGCAGAATACTCGCGGCCACTGTAAAATGGGAGGACACTGTGAGACAAGCCCTCGGTCTAACCAAGTTTTCGTCCAATAGCAAATAGAATGCTGAGCCCACGTAAGCCAGCCAATCAATATACGATCTTTTTCAACACCTAGTACCCCTGAAAATGAAAAATGAAAAAAAAACTTTATTTACGGAATACGAAGATCGAATTTAGGGCTTTAGAAATCGATTACTAAAGGTTGTGTGACATTGTTCGACGACGTCCTGTTGAAATCAAAAGTCGTTCAAGCCGGTATCAATATACGCATAATTTGAATAACCACAGGAATATAATTTTGGGAATAAGCGCAAGGTCCCAGTCGACTTTAAACAAATTCGCGACAAGTTCCAGTAATCAGTTTTAGCAAAATAAAATCACAGCCATTTTCGTTTATGTACGGCATATAATTTGTTTATTTCTTCGTAATTTCGTCAGTTCTTCAATAAATAAATAAACCAAAAAAAAAATCAATTAAAATAAATTTTCTAAAAAACAGGCAGTCCAACTAAATTCGTCTAAATCTCAGATCGTTTACCACAAGCCAGTGGCGGTATAGGTGAGTGGTGAGGCAACATGCAACTGGGTCAGTGGAGCGGAGTAATGCGCAACTGGAGCATGATGCAACAGTGGGGCAGCGGCAATGTGATGAACAGGAGCAGAGTGCAGCTGCACTGCTGCCGGAGAAACAGCAGTCTTCAGCACAGTCGGGGGGGCAGCCACAACACTAGTTCTCACAGCTGGTGCAACAATATCCTGAACAACATGCGCCGAGCTATGCACAATCGATTGACTTTGATGGGAGACGGCAGTGGGGATGCTCTTCACCACTGAGCCCACTTTAGTCAGAACGGGTTCATGAACGGCAATAGTGGCGGAGGGTGCCGCCGAGTACACCACTGGATGGGATTCGATGAGACTGGGACGAGCAGCAGCTACGACCAGGAGAGCAGACAATACCACCTGTTGAGCAAAAGTAGAAATAAAAAATTAATAACTGTATACATATTTTTTTTCTGTTTTTTCTCGCCAACTTACCAACTTGAACATTTTGAAAGGTTTTTTGTTTGTGTTGTTTGAAGGTCTGTATTGACTGAATGCGTTAAAGAACTGATACCGTTCTTCGACGCTGACGCAGTATTTATAGTGACAAACTCCCACGAAACGTATGTACGTAAATGTAATGAAACGCACGCAACGCCAATCTTTCACAGCAGCGGCTGGTGCGCTGCTCTTTCAGTGTTGTTAGCGTAGACGACGGCCTTGTGAGCAACTCATAGAGCTCCGGAATATGCGTGCCTGGAATTATGCATATGCTTGCTTGTACATGGTTACTATTTTCTGGCTTTTGTATACAAATCAATCTATTGATAGGCGTTGGTGTGCGTTCTGTGTAATCGTTAAGGCAATTAGAGCCGCCATCTGAACCAGTTTGGGTGGCGTTAATGAGACAATTTTGCTATTAACGTATTACCATACCATTGAGAAAATAAGCGTCGATGCCATTGTTTACATATTTACATACAGCGTGTGTTGTTCACCAGCCAGAAGGCTATGTATCTACATATTTGTATCCGTAATATATTCTCATATTCATACTTATGTATGTATGTACATAAATTGTACAGTACGTTCATATAATCACTATGTATGTTAGAAAACGATCACATCGGCATGCGAGCTCGCTTTACCGGCTATTCCATACTTGGTGATCGGCATCAAGGAAGCCTTGCGCAAGTAAAGTGAATTATGACTTGCATTTGCGGCCACTAACCTTTTTGATCATTAACTTTAAAATTTGTATGATTTAGACTCCCTTTCGTTGTGGATTTGAAGCATAACCTTGTACCACTGTAGTGTTGGAGGATTTACTAGTTCATGCCATGCAGGAAAACTCCTTAATAACCCTTGTGTGAATTCCTTATTTTCGAACAATTTCCGCGCCAATGAGGTAATGAGCGAGGTCCATAGTTAGAGTGTGTAGTCAAAAATGACAGTCGTCTGTATATTAGGGTGGAGCGAAAATAATAAATTTTTCTGTTTCGCAATTCGAATAGTGTGGAAACATTGTGCAAAATTATACCATTGAACTCCAGGAGCCTGAAAGTTTCGAAATATTTCTCAAATTGTGCTCCTTAAAAAAAAAAAAAAAATATATGTTTTTTGCTATTTTTTGGCCATTTAACAATTATATTCAACAATTTTATAATGAGCTCGAGGC